TTTTTTTAGGACCGTAAAACTAAGCTGAGCGCTCGGAAATTGCAACGTTGTGAAACAACTCTTCGCACTCCAGGTAAATCTTGTATGAGCCTATTTCCACCATCCACCAGTAAGTGTACTACAGTTACCCCAAAAACGATTGCGTCCGCTTCCAAAAAGAAGATATTTGCCACGCCTACTACGGAGAATACTGCAAAGAGGCCTAAGGCAACACCTGCAACTGTTGGTTCGAAAACGAGTAAGTAGAATTGATTGTAGATGTTTCTGCATAGATAATATTTAAGTTGCTACAAGGGGATACAATATATGGCATGGGCCAGCATATTGTCTATAATACAGTTTTTCTTATAGAAATTTTTTCAGTCCATGAATTTGCTTACAACTGAATAATTTGTTCCTTTTTATTATAGAAGGCACGCCAAGAGTGATTTCCAAAATCAAGGTTACACATCATACTATGTCACTGCCCAAACAGCGCAGGTCACGTTCATTCCAGGAAACGGAAACAGAAACGGAAACGGGCCCTCAGGCAAAGTAGGGGTGCTCAAAATGAAAATGTGGTTCCTGATCCAAATGAAACTAAGGATACAACATACCACGACTTTCAGGTGAGATTTTAGACTTTCCTGAAATAATTTCCGTACAAAATTTAATATTGAAAAAATCCATATTTTACAAACGAGTAGATTTGTTGCGGAACTTATGGGTGGACCTCTGTGGGACGAGCGTAGCGACAACCAAATATAAACAAACTATATAATTTTGGAATCGAAAAATTGTGCTCATCAAGAATATAGAACCAAATATAGGGCATCCCATTTCTGACATCCAATTTTGAGCATGAAATTGTTCTCGGCTCTTGATTTGAATCAAGAGCCTGCTAGAATAATCACTCGATTAATTAATCCTTGAATGTACCAAGCAGTTACTGCAAATTATTGAATTCTGATATAATAACTGATCAAAATCACTAGTTGTTCTCCTCCTTTTACACAGAATGTGACTCTGTGAAGAAACTCTTAATCAACAACTAATGATTGTTTTTGCAGCAAATTCTATGCAAGAAGCCCCATCAAGTCTGCAACGAAAAAACGTGCCAGATCCAAATCCAGAGACGATTTAACCAAAAACGAAACCAAAAGACGAACAATCAAATTTTCTCCTGAAAAAGATTTGAACGATTTAAACAAGAATGTTGAAAATTTGAAAATAACCGAACCGAAGCCGCCAACTGTTTTGGAAAAAGAATTCAAATGTGTAAGATTGAAATTGAAAAAACCTGAAATGGCTGGCATCAAAATATCTCCCAGTGACAATGGACAATCTTATTTCTTAAGTGAAATTCTACCCAATTCAGTAGCGAGCAAAAACGAAAATCTAAAAATCGGAGACGAAGTCATCAAAGCCAATGGAATTCGCATTAGCTTGCCTTATCAAACTGCCAAAAAACATTTTTTACCCAAAAACAATGAACTAGAACTAGTGGTTTCTAGAATTCCAAAACCTACTAAAAAACGTACAAACTCGTTTAAGGCCTTCTTGACTAAACCTGCTCAAATAATTTTGAGCCCCAAGAAAGACTCAGTTAAATCTCCACCAAACAGCAACTCAATCCTCAATAAAAGTCCTAGCAAATTGTCATTGAGCACTTCTAAATCGTCAACGATTTGTCCGCCTAAAACCCTACAAACTTTTAGCCCCTCTAAATCCCAAACTCCTCAAAAATCTTATGTAGGCCTTAACGATATACTGTCAATGGAGAGTAGAGTTACTTTCAGCGAAAAACCACTTTCAAAAGCCCTTCGCCTCTCAAAAAACCCCCTTTTTCACCAAAAGAAAGTTCAGTTTCAAGAACCCCTTCACCAGGAAACTCACCGTCGTCTTTATATGGAATGAGGAAATTTTCATTGTCAAACTCAACAAGGCCACAAATTTTCAAATGCCTGCCCATTTCTAATTCTAATAAAACTCCAAACAAAACTGTAACTTTCATCAAAGGCCCTGGCAAGAAAAGCCTAGGCTTTTCAATTGTAGGAGGCCGCGATTCGCCCAGAGGCCCTATTTTCAAAGATGGACCAGCCAGTGAGAAGAAAATATTACAAGCAGGTATATAATAATATTCATTTATAATTATTTCATAGTAAAATAATTCTTTTAGGTGATGAGTTGCTGTCAATTAATGGTACATCGTTTAAAGGCAGGTCTCATTCGGAAGCTGTAACTTTATTCAAAACTATAAAATGTGGCCAAGTGATTGTTGAAGTAGCCAATAGACAAGGGAATAGAACTTATTCACAATCAATGTGAACTATTTTTCTTATTATTATTAATTTTTAATACCAACAAAACATACATTCTTTGTTACAAATTCCAAAATAACATTGTGATATTGAATTGCTTTAAAAATAATTTAAAGGGTAGTATTTAGATTGATTTAGGGTTTTGGGTTAGTTTGTACCAGGGGCGCGGCCAGGGGGCCAGGGCCTCCCCACAACTTTCCAGAGAAAAATAATGAAGTGGAAAAAAGCTGTAAACTGCTTATGTCATGAAAAGCTAAAAAAATTTAGTGGATCTGTGTATATTCCTATAATTTTTTCCCTCGGACAAAATGTCTGGCTGCACCACTGGTTTGTAGCGTTATATTTTTTGTACCAATTTTGGTAGGTTTGTGAAAGAAACAAACTTCACCTATGTAAATAATTAAAACAAAAATGTTAATTATACTAACAAGATAATTGAAATAAAACACAAAAAATTCCTTAACAAAACTCATTTAATTATTGCTTTTTGCTTGCCAAAATTATACCATCGTATTTCTGTTGGAACCACTTCATGGCATCTTCTTTCATCAGCCTGTGAGAAAAGCCAACTTTTCCTTGCTTCCTCCTTCTGTGGGCCACATTGAATCCGGGCCTGCCTAATACAACGTAAAAGTCCAAACCATAGATTCCTATGCTGGGGTCGTACTTGATGCCCAATTTTGTTATGTGGGAGGGTGTTTTTTTATTCCTATATCGTCACCCCACCTACAGCCTTTACCTTTACGGTAGAAAAAAGGTGTAAATACAAAAGTTGTACAGTTGCGGAACTTCTGGGTGGACCTCTGCGGGACGAGCGCAGCGAGTTCCGCAGCCATCTACTCACCAATATACTGTTGAACTGTTCAAGTAAGACATTCACCTGAAATGTGTAATTTTTAAACTAATGACAATAACTCACTCACATTTGAGTGAGTCAGGTTAGTATCGTAATTAAACAACATATTGATAAATAGATGGCTGCGGAACTCGCTGCGCTCGTCCCGCAGAGGTCCACCCATAAGTTCCGCAATAATTCACTCATTTGTATTTGAATAACTTGTCACATTATGTTACTAGTTTGATAAAGTAACATTAACTAATTCATTTTGAAAGGCAAATTGATAAAAAGTGAATATCTTACAAATTTTGACTTTGCATGTATAATAAGTTATTGTTTAAGTACAAATAAGTGAATTATTGCAGAACTTATGGGTGGACCTCTGCGGGAAGAGCGCAGCGAGTTCCGCAGCCATCTACCCACCAATATATTGTTGAACTATTCAAATAAAGACACTCACCTGAAATGTGCAGTTTTTGAACTAATGAGAATAACTGACATTTGAGTGGGTCCCATTTGAAAAAAGCTGAAAACATGCAACATTTCACATTTCTGACATTCAAATTTTGTTTCTGACCATCATGGTTTCTAAAAATTCAGCCAAGACTTGTACAATTTTTGTATTTAAGTACACCTTTCTTCTATTTGTAAAGGTACCTATACCACAGATCCCTATACTTAAAAGCTGTAGGTGGAGTGTCAATATATAGAGAAACACCCTTTACCTAAAGGATTGTTGTACTTTTCAGACGAAATAAAAAGACTTGTATGAAAGATTTTTTTTATCCTCAATAGTCACAATTTTGGACCATCATTTCCCAATGCATTACTTATCTATTACAAATTCTTTTATCATAAATTCCTCAATAATAATTTGTGAAATAGATAAAGTCACGTCACTGACCTCTATAAATGGATAAGCACTGAAATAGCTAATTCCCGGTATTTTACCTTTATTTTGGTAAAATAAAACCATACAATTGGGACGCGCCCCCTTCGACTCCATGGTCATAGCCAGTAGGAACTTACAATTTCTACGAGGTCGAAACACTGCTGAAATTAAGTTCAAAAATCCAGCAGTTTTAAAAGTAACACGGCCACACGAAAACTCAAGAAAAACCACTAAAAACACCAACTATCAAACACGCACACGAAATAATAAATTCAGTCCCTCCCGGTCTTAGGATTAATATAAATATACTCATAAAAACCTTTGTATAAACAGACTTTTTATACAATGATAAAACTAAAAATACCTGATATTTTGCAGGTTCGTTTAAACATTTGATCGGTTGAAATTAACTCCATAAAAATAATTTCTTTGAATTTTGAATTTATTTTTGAAAGCCAATGTAATACATATATTCTTAGGAGGTCTCACCAATTATTGTATTATTCAAATTAAATAGTAAAATAGTTCATTAAAACTTATCTTAAGGTATCAAAAGTATCGTCATTAGAATTATTAGAAAGGATAAATAGGAGTCCATTGTTAGTTACCTAGCTGGAAGAATGGTCGCTCTCACAGTTAGGTAATATTAGTTACTATAAATATTATCAGTAATAATACATTATTATGATTGATTAATTTTATTTTTTGGAAAGACTTTTGCAAGCAAATTAATTCCAATCCTCCCATATAAAGAAGTGTGCGATATTATATTCTTTATTTGTGGTAAGTTTAAATTGATTTAAACATTGTTAAAAGTTTAAATAGTGTTAAAATAACATGTGTATAACTTTAGGCTTATTAACACCAAATAAAAGTAAGTAATCTTTGTAAGTAGGTGTACATATTTCATACAAACAAATATTTGGTAATAATAACTGCATTTATTTTGTTATTATTATTATTATATCAACGCCTACACAGATTAAGTAAAGGCACGTTTACACTTTCTCATAGTAAACTCAATATAGGTACCTATTTACTATTTTCTCAGATTTTATACACAAATCAATTCTGATGTAAATGTAATACATAAATTAATGGACTCAGTTTCCTACTGTTATTATGGTAGCACAATAATCAAAATCAGTGGGCACTAGATTTTGCGTTGGCACCCAATAATTTTCTTTGTTCTTAATTAATAATTTAATTATTAATCCAATAAATAATTATTTTTGCATTAAATAAATACATTCAAATAGTGTAGGATGTAGCTTACAGTGGGTTTGTGGGAAGTAGATTATGATTTTTCATTTTTAACACACAACTATCTGTTGGGATTTTATCTTATTTTATATTAAATAAACGCAGAATTTTGATTAATTTATTTCCACAATCCACCACAAACAAAGAACACATGGGTAGTACAAGTACAGCCAAACTTCAAACTAACAGCTGATAAAATTCAAAAATTGACACATTTCAACTTAACCTCAAATTCTTATTTAAACAAATATCTAGCTTATACCATAGAAAAGTTATCGAACACTTCCAATACAGTTATGCCGCGCCATCTATCAAATAATTCTATAAAACATGAAAATAGTAAACAATTCCAAATACAAAAACAAATTATTAATTTAAATCTTATTCTTAACACTATCAAGGTGACTAACTTTAGCTTTAATGGACATCAAGTACGGGTTTCGATGTTGATTTTGAATTACGGTTTTCTGTAAGGATTTTAAACGAAAAAGACGAGATGACCCCTTGAAAAGGGGGGTCTTTTTATATTAATTTTGAGCTGTTTATAGGGGGGTATTTGTTACACTAATGGCTGGTTTATACAACATTTGCATAGTCGTAATCATAATCATAGTCTTAGTCTTAGTCTTAATCATAATCACAATTTTAGAAGGCGTTTATACAATGTCATAAGCATAAAATAAAATCAACTCTAACCCGACTTTTTGTAGGGAGAATTTGTTTACTTTTTGCGAATCGAACTCGTCTATTTACTTTTAATACTTTTTCAAAGTTTCAAAAAGTGTGGAAATTAAAATTCTGCGAAAGAAAACCATACAAGTGATAGGTCTGTCCTATTTATTTTTGAGTTTTGTTAATAAACAACTTCAACAAACGCAAACCATAAACAAAGAAGGTGGAAAGTGAGTCCCATCAATAAAAAAAGGCAGAAGGAAGGGCATTTTGCCACATTATTCAAAGACATGTAGAAGCTTGATGGAGACCCTTTTTTTTAAATACTCTAGAATGACTCAAGATCAATTTAAATACAAACAGAACTAAAATAGCAGATTTGAATTGTTTTCCTCTGTATCAGCTGATAATGGCGCTTGCGCAGTTTGGATCTCGTCTTAGTCATAATCATAAAAGTTAAAAGTTGCCAACTTTGAGTTATGCTTATGCTTATGATTATGATTTGTGTATAAACGGTTCCATAAGAAAATATTATTTTAACTCTTATGACTAAGACTATGATTATGATTACGACTATGCAAATGTTGTATAAACCAGCCATAATATTCAATTAAAACGTGCAATCTATATAAGTAATTTTTGATTTCTAGAAAAAATGATGCGTCTTTTCAAAAGACGAGATTCAGACGCCAACCCTCATCTAGAAAGCGTTTCGACCCTTCAAAATGAAGAAAACTCGATCGAATTCGGTTCTAGATTACCCAAATCTACTCATCAAAAGCCATGTAAGTAAAGATAATCAAAATATTTTCAACTAGGTATTTATAAAATCAATTATCTAGATTTGTCTACTTGGGGTAAAGCTTGGGACAAAACCACCAGAAAAGATTCATTCGAACATCTCCCATACAAAAAACCCGTTCATCCAGAGAAAAACGTCAGCAATACGGACAACGTTGTCCGCAACAGAACAACCACAAGATCCAAAAGAAACCTAAAATGTGTTTCTGACAATATCGAACTCAATCAGCAACAATTTCTAGACTATTTGATGCCAATGAAGCCCAACAATGACGAACTGGACAAGATTTTTGATGACCAGCCTAAAAAGAAAACCCGCAAGTCAAAATTGAAATCTATATTCACAATGAGGTAAGAATTATTTGATGTTTTATTATATAAATTTTAACTTTTATATGAACAGTTCTAAAAGTGATGAATCAGAAACCCCTTTCAAAAGAATGAAGAAATCATCATCAACTGATAGTTTGACCAGCTTGTTGAACTATAGGTATGGCAGTGACTCTACCAAAACCACAGCTCTAAATTCACCGATTGGTTCTATAAAGTCGCAGGTGAGAATTTTCCATTAATTTTCATGTTAATTAAAATGTTTCAATTAATATAGACGAGCCAAGAAGTTGATACTGATGCAGAAATGGACAAAACTCTAGTGGACAAGTATAGAGATGTGGATACTGGTGACGAAGAAATAATGGATACTGCTGAGACTAAATACACTTTTAGGTAAAATTGTAATGAGCCAGTAGATGTAAAATTTATATCATATTTTGTATTTTTGGCCCTGAAAAATTTTGATCATCTTTCTGATGAATGTTTCGTTTTCGACCCTTTCTATATAAGTTGAATCTGAGTTAGAAACTCCTATTTATTCAGGCTCTCAAACTGTAATATCTAAACTATTCTAATTGTCAGCTGAAAGGGTCCATTTTTAAGCTGAACTCAACCAGGGAAATGTATTTTAAGTCCCATTTCTGACTGTTTTTGAAGCAGGAAGCTAAAACGTCTTTCAATGTTTTTTTTTTTATTTATTTTTTCTCTCTCGTGTAACGAAATTTACCAAAATGTGACGCGTCTTCCAGATGACACTCTCATCCATTCTCATCCAGATATCAAACCGCCGCCTAAGAAGTTTCACTTGAAAAAATCGAGTTTTCATTGAATTCTGATTTCAAAATCTTTAAAACTCGATTGCTTGGTAACCGTTGAACAAATTGCATTGAAATTGTTCTCTAAATGGCCTGTAATTTACAAAATTCCCAGATTTATAGTTTTTGAGCAAATTGAGTTTGAAGTTTTAGACTAAAACTCAACTTTGAGGGTTAATTGCTCAAAAACTATTCGAGCTATCGATCTCAATTTTGCACAGATTTATAGAGAATTTAATGCTCTTTCCAATGATATATTATTTATTCGAATTTGCTTAAAATTTAACAAAGCTATGGGCAATTGCTCATGACCATGTCAAGATTTTGAAAATTTTCCAGAGTCAAAAATAGGATTTTCTTTTTAATTTTTTTGCTGGTAAAAATGGCTATTTGGAAATGATGTCTGAGTTCTTTTCCACTAATTTTGACCCGCTTTATCGATTGGTGAAGTCAAAATGGAGGATAACTGGAAGTTAAGAAAAACGAATTTTTCATGGGAGTACTCCTTCGAATTCTAATTTCAATATATTCAAACTTCAATTGCTCGGTAACCGTTGAGCAAATTGCATTGAAATGTTCAGCATTTCTAGCTCTTATTAAGCACTTTATAGATGGCCTGTAATTTACAATATTCCCAGATTTATAGCTTTTGAGCAAATTGAGTTTCAAGTTTTTGACAAAATTTAGACTAAAAGTCAACTTTGAGGCTCAATTGCTCAAGAACTATTCGAGCAATCGATCTCAATTTTACACAGATTTATAGACAATTTAATACTCTTTCCAATGATATATAATTTATTTCAATTTGCTTGAAATTTAACGAAGACATGGGTTTGCTATTCACCAATGTTGTTCAAGTACGATACTAACCTGACTCACTCAAATGTCAGGTATTCTCATTAGTTCAAAAACTACACATTTCAGGTGAGTGTACGTGTATTTTATTTGAATAGTTCAACAGTATATTAGGGTAAATAGATGGCTGCGGAACTCGCTGCGCTCGTCCCGCAGAGGTCCACCCATAAATTTCGCAATAATCCATTTATTTGTACTTGAATATTAACTTATCATATTTGCCCTTTAACAGGAATTAGTAATGTTACTTTACCAAACTAGTAACATAATATGACAAGTTATTCAAGTACAAATGAGTGGATTGTTGCGGAACTTATGTCCGCAGCCATCTATTCATCAATTTTGTGTTTAAATGCGATCATAGAGAATGCGATACTAACCTGACTCATTCAAATGTGAGTTATTCTCATCAGTTTAAAAACCGCACGTTTCAGGTGAGTGTCTTATTTGAATACTTCAACAGTATTATATTGGTGAGTAGATGGCTGCGCAGAGCCATCCACCCATAAGTTCCGGAACAATCCACCCACTTATTTGTACCTACTTAAACAAGAACTTTATTATATAAACTTAGAATTTGTAAGCAGGGTCGGCGCAAGCGACTTTGGCGCCCTAGGCAAATAAACTCTGTCTGCCGCGCCCATCAAGTAAAAATACAAATATGCATGGCTTTTTTTGAAAACATGTTTTATAGGTTTATTAATGATTGTATGTACAGGGTGATTCATTAAGAATAGCACTCGGCCATATCTCAAAAACTATTCATCGTAGTCATGTCGGAAAAAAATTATCCCATAAATATGGCCAAGAGAAAATGCTGGAAATATATTTCAGCTTTCTAAAATGACCGTAAGGGGGCGTAACTCAACTGTCAAAGTACAAAAATGGTTTTATTTTTCAAATTTCAAATGGAAACGTATCTCAAAAATGCTAGCAATAGATTTTTGATGAAATTTCCCACAATTGTGATTCATGACTTTTTACCATGACTTATCGGATAAACTAGTTATGAGCTGTCAAATATTGCAACTTAAGAACACGAATAACTTCAAAACGACTCAACGAATTGGGTCGATCTTAGGTTCATTGGAAAGACAAGAGTCTGTTCTTTAATTTTGTTGTAAGAAATTCCAACTTCAGTTAGTTGAACTGACTCTTTGGGTGGATATTTGCAAACAATTGAATTTTTCTAATTTTTCTTGAAATTTCCAAATGAAACGGTATACCTATTTAAGATATGTTCAAAAGATTTTTGAGGATGTTTTATACAGTTTTTCTTTATTATACCTTCCTACAAACGAATTCCAGAGAGTGTTAAATTTAATTTTATCAAAAATAATCAATATTTATAAAAAAGCCCTCTAAAATAATGACTTCGCTTTTTTGACAGTGGATTGTCATCATTGATGAATGTCAAATAATGGAAAAATTGCGTTAGGAAATTATAATAGTAACTATAATATGCAATGATCATGTAATGATAGCCAGTAATACACGAGCATGTTGTAGCATACGAAAGTTGAAAAAGAAATATTGAGAATACTCATATATATTATATCACAAGACTTTTAAATTTAATCGATTAAACTATCCAACATATTTCGAGCATGATTTTTATTTAAAAGTTATTGTGCAAGAACTATTTGCCAAAAAGCAAAATTATGCAAAAAATATTTGGATAGTTTAATCCATTTAAATTTATAGGTCAAGTGGTATACGGCTAGATTATTTCCTGAATAATTAGGATTGAATAATTGTTGGCGTCAATCCTATCCAAAGAGTTCTATTTATTCTAAATAGCGTCAGTCCTACTAACCAGAATTTGAATTTTTCACAACAAAATTAAAGAACAGACTCTTGTCTTTCCAACGAACCCAAGATCAACCAGATTTGTTGAGTCGTTTTGAAGTTATCCGCTTTCTTGCGTTGCAATATTTGACAGCTCATAACTATCTTATCCGATAAGTTATGGTAAAAAGTCATGAATCAAAATTGTGTGAAATTTCATCAAAAATCTATTGCTAGCGTTTTTGAGATACGTTTCCATTTGAAATTTGAAAAAAAAAAAAATAATAATAATAAACGGCTTTATTTAAATAAAAGTTCTACATTTAGCAAAACAGTAATGGCGAAGTTTAGCCAAGTGGCTATTCTTACACTTAACCATTCATTAAATTAACCAAAGTTAAATATATTCCAAAATACTTAACTAAATTATTAATATCGTAGGTATTAGACCCTGAGATAGGGCCTGTTTAGTGGAGTCATTTTTTTTTGTCTGGCATTTTGAGGGATGAATGTGACTAGTTAGCTGATGAGAATATAAGTGGTTTTAATGCCTGCCTCCTGTTCGAAATGTCCACAGAATATTTCGCCGGAAAACTCGATTTCGAACTGTGATTACCGTGTGGCGATTTTTCAGCGTTATTTTCACAACAAAACCTTTCATTCTCTCGATTGCCAGACAAAAAGTAAACGCGGAAGGTTCTTTTCTTTTCTCTTGGAAGTTGACACCTATCCCCATTTTTTCAGCTATTGAAAAGCATCTGATATTTTTCATGGGTGAATTATTTATCAATGTCAATCTTTTATTTAAAAGCTAGAAAATTTGAGTATTTTGAACATATTGTAAACGATTTTTTGTGGCAAGATCCAGACAAGGATAGTAAACGATATTGCAATAGTTGAATAATGATAATACCAACGATTCACTGCATTCAACCTCAAGTTATGTGATTTAGAGAATTTAGAAATTGCTTGCAATTCTAATGAAATATTGACCCCTGCTTCTTCAAAATTATCTGGATGAAAAGTATGCAATAGCTGCGTGTCATCTGCATATATGATTGCAAGTGAGAACAAGTAACTTCTTTAAAGATGTCTGCAGTATACAACACAAACAACAAAGGTCCTAATATGGAGCCTTGTGAGACACCAGAGATTACTTTTTGAGAGGTGGAGTGATTATTACTGACTCTTTGACTACGCAAAGAAAGATAATTATGAAAAAAACTAACAGAGCTTTTACCAAAACCATAAAAATTTAGCTTTGAGAGCATAAGTTCGTGATCTATTGTGTCGAAGGCTTTTGAATAATCTAATGAGACTAACACAGATGCACGTCATTTTCTGTCAATAGATCTGAAAATGTTATCAGTTAAATCAAGCAAAGCAGTTGTGGTGCTGTGCTGCTTTCGAAAACCTGATTGAAATTTTGGAAGTAATTTATTGATATCCAAGTAATTGATAATCTGTGTAGCTGCAATTTTTTCCAGAATCTTAGACAGGACAGGAAGAAGGCTGATGGGTCTCAAATCACTTAAACTCTTAGGATTATTGACTTTAGGTAGAGGACAGACCATAGCAACTTTCCACGAATTTGGAAAGTAACAATATGTGTAATATGGTCCAGAATTTTAGGTAAACATAATTTAATCATTTGCAGTGAGATACACGGTCTATACCAACCACTAGCATTAGATTTCAAGGAGATTATAGCTTGTCTTATTTCTTCACGAGTTGCTAATTTAAGATTAAAACAAAGAGATTCGTTAAGTTTTTCATTGTTATAGGTAATAGCGTATTTTGTCGTTACAATTATTACTTTCATTAAAAACGGAAATAAAGAAATTGTTAATTTTTTCAGGGTCTTGCAAAAATCTTTTTTATCTTGAGTCTTTATATTAAGTGTTTTGAGCCCTGTCCAAATATTTTTCGGGCTAT